AATCATCTCCATCGCCTCCTCACCTCTTCACTCAAAAATCTCACCAGTAATGTCGCCCCCTCTACAATCATCTCTATCTCTCCCTTTCCCCCTTTCCCCCTTTCCCTTTCCCCCTTTTCCCTCATGTGAGGTTGAGGCGATTAGAAGCCAAGAGACATAACCACGCCTCCTCACGAGCTCGAAGTGCCATAGAACAAAAGAAATCGAGATTTGTGAGAGAAAGCCGGAGTTTCATTTCATCTCCTCTCCCTCTCTAGCGGCGGTACTCAAAGCCGGAGTTTCAAAACCGGAATCGGATGGATCCTGACTCCTTGTCCAAGGCCTTCGTCGAGCACTACTACAGCACCTTCGATGCGAATCGTGCCGGCCTTGCAAATCTCTACCAGGAAAGTTCGATGTTGTCCTTCGAAGGTCAAAAGATCCAAGGCTCGCAGAACATCGTGGCCAAACTCACCAATCTCCCCTTCCAGCAGTGTCAGCATAGTATCTCCACCGTCGATTGCCAGCCGTCCGGTCCCGCTGGCGGGATGCTTGTCTTCGTCAGCGGTAACCTCCAACTCGCCGGCGAACAGCATGCTCTCAAGTTCAGCCAGGTGTGCATATGCATATTTATTGCTTGCAATTTTTATGTGAATGATTATTGCCTATTTGGCATTTTTCCAGTATTTGTTAGGGTTTCGATTTGTAATTTGAGGACCGATCTGTTGCCGATCTCGGTCGATTTCTATTTTCATGGTTTTTATTACGTAAATTGTATGCTTCATTGTTTTGCTTTAGTTGTACAGAAGAGATGTCGATTCGAGTTGTTGTTGATAGATCTATATTTTTGGAGTTCCAATTCTGTAGTTTACATAAATTGAAATCTGGATTTTTGAGAGAAAGGACGAACAGCGGGGTTGTGTTTTTTAGAGGAAAACGACGCCGTTTGGTTTGAGACTCCAACTTTTTTTTGGGAGGTAGGACTGATACCCACTTTCCCCTATATATATATATATATATATATATAAAGGACAGTTGAAACTTCCGCAAGAAACCTCTGACTTCTCTTTGCTCCTGTGCCGCTAATCCTTTGACCGTTGTCGATTGGTTAATTTTTTTTTCAAAAAAAATTATTATAATATATATTTTTAAATATTATATTATATAATATTAAAAATTTATAACATTATGTTTTTTTTTAGATTTATTAATAATATTTTTGTATTAACTCATTTAACAATTAATTATAATTATAATGTTACAATTTTATGTAATATTGTAATAATAACATTATTGATATTTTTTTTATAGTTCTAGAATCTCATATCATGTTACTGCCAATGGTTATGATCATATTTTTTAGTTAATTAAAATTAACTTGCCTATAAATTTTATACT